CAGCTAATAAATATTTTAAATAAATATTAACTTTTTTAATGCAAAAGGATCCAATTAGAATCTCAGTAATAAGCGGATATAGCTTTAAAGGAGACAATCAGATAAAAGGAACCTTTGTGTGGATCAGAAGAATTTGCTGAGGAAAGAAAACATAATGAAAGGGGTCTCTTCATCCCTCTTAATTTCCTCAGCAAAATGTATACACATTTAAAGATAGCTTGGATATCAAGGTGTAAATCCTTACATGATTTGGGAATGGGGTGTCTGGAGGACCATCTTCTCCCATACATTCCTGCCTGGGAATTATGATCACAGGGAGAGGCCGTCCTGACTGTCCCACAAACTAAAGATGCTCATTTGGTGGGTACATGAGAGAGGGCCTTTTCTGTGGCAGCCCCACAATTATGGAAAAGCCTCCTCAGGGAGGTGCAGCTGGGCCCCCCTCACTGTCGATCTTCAGGAGGTAGTTAAAGACAGTTTTATTTAGGACTGCATTTTGATTTAAGCTTTTATTATTGGCAGTCCTAATTGGAGTTTCTAATCTATCTTTTTTAAGTTGTATAATTGTTGTTTTTTGTGTATTTTTATAATGTTTTATCTATACTGTGGGCCACTTTGAGTTCTGCAAGGCAGAAAGTCAGCTAAAATGGTCTTAAATACATAAAATATTTACTTATTTATTTTATTCAACTTATATACCGCTTCTTTCCCCACAGAGCTCAGGGTGGCTTCCCGCAATTAAATATATGGTAAAACCAACATTTTAGTCTTAAAGCCAAATATTACAGTTAAAAACCTAATAATCTACTATATCAGATGGCGCCCCAACAATCCATCACAAGTAGGCAACTGAGAAGGCAGTCAATACAGGAAAATTGAATGGAAAAAACAAGCCCTATAAAGGGCAAAGGAGGAGGAAAAGGAGGCAAAAGAAGGAGGGCAAGATCAGGGATGGAATATGATAAAGAAAAATAGAGCAAACAGGGTTGGGGGAGGGGGAACCAGAGAAGAGGGAGGAGAAAGAGGGAGTCTGTGCTACTAATGAGTTTTCAGGGGGTGTCGGATCCCGCAGAGCATTCTGGAAACCAATTGGATCCATAAGTCTCCACAGTCTAATAAAAGAGATCTCACCATCACAGCCTCTTAGAGACTGCAGTACCTATGAATTAAAAGCTGGGTCTGAGATTTCCATGATAGCAGGCTGGTTGCAGAAGCAGCAGGCATGTGCCATGGCTAATTTCATATCCACTATCCCCTCTATCACAAAAACAGAACTTTTTGGGGAGGATATTGATAACGATTCTTAGCTTAGCTTAACTTCTAAATGTCCGCTCACCAAACCACAATCAATGTTTTCTTCTTTCCTCTGTTACTCTCTTATCTCCCCTTTCTTTTAGCTGTTCCTAAACAGGTGGGGATAGGAGCTGTGTTGGCTCAAGTGGTTAATACGCTGAACTGCAGGCTGTGGAAGGTCAGTAGTTCAGCAGTTCGAGACCCAGGTGCCGCATGATGGAGTGAGCTCCCGTCTCTAGTTCCAGCTCCTGCCAACCTAGCAGTTCGAAAGCAAGAAATTGCAAGTAGATAAATAGGGACCACTTCGGTGGGAAGGTAACAGCGGTCCGTGCGCCTTGGTGTTTAGTCATGCCAGCCACATGACCACGGAAACATCTTCGGACAGCGCTGGCTCTTCGGCTTTGAAACGAAGATGAGCACCGCAACCCTAGAGTCGGACTGGACTGGCTTTTGAGCAAGGGAACCTTTACCTTTAAACAGGTGGGGATAGGGTACAGTGGAGTTTTCATCAGCACTCTTAGGTCCTTTGTGCATGGGTGTTTTGCCTTGCTTTCACTGTGCATGTCCATCAGGTATTCTTTTTTGTTTTGCATTTCGTTTCCTCCCTTCAGCGTTCAGTTCACTTTCTGTTCACTGTTTCCCTGGGTTTTATGAGAGTGGTTTTATGGCGGTTTTCCCCTTGTTTTGCTTCCAAGTTGAAGGTTAAGTCAAGAGCATAGAGATTCCTTCTGATTTCCCCCTGTCCTGTCCCCGCCCCTTGTAGGCCACTCCCTCACCTACATTAAAATTTTTTTAGCATGAGTCTAGTGATAGGAGACCACTGACAATATCATTCTGCAGGTTAAAAAAAAGACTCCCTGCTGGGCTGCCCTCTTCTGCTGCCCGGTTTGAAGTGCGCCTGCTGGGAGCCATCAGCTTCCCACACACACAGCAAGCCTAGCTGGGCTGTCCTCTCCCACTGCCGCTTTCAACCAGGCGGCATGAGAAGGCAGCTCTGAGCTGTGCCTGCTGGAAGCCATTGGCTCCTGCACACACAGTGAGCCCAGCTGGGCTGTCCTCTCCCATTGCCTGGCTGAAACTGGGCAGCAGGAGAAGGCAGCACTGAGCTGTGCCTTCTGGGAGCTATCAGCTCCCCGCATGCACAGTGAACCTTGCTGGGCTGCCTTCTCATGCCACCCGGTTCAAACTGGGTGGCACGAGAAGGCAGTGCAGAGCTCGGTGTATTTATTCTGGGCTGTACAGTGTTCCCTCTAAACTGAGTTAGTGTGAGCTAGCTCACAGTTTATTTTAGCTTCCAGATCACACATTTTTGTCTTAGCTCATGAAGGATGGCTCCAGAGCAAACTAATATATGCAGTAGCCAAATCGGTCACTCACAGCTTTAATGCCAGTAGCTCACAAAGTAGAAATTTTTTTGCTCATAAGACTCCACAGCTTAGAAGGCATATGCAGAATAAATACACCAGAGAAAAAGAATGGTGCATACTGCAGGCACAGAGTCCGACGTCAAGCCTAAAGGCTTGGCTACATGGATTCTCTGCAGTAAGCTGTGTGTGCATACAGAGACTTAAAAGAACCTGTCTCTAATGCTGAAGATGGCAATGCATCCACCCATGTCTAGAATGCTTTTTAAAAAATACCTAGTTCATAAACACATCAAACTATGGTGGGGAAGCAGGCTGGAAGGCAGGACCACTCCCCCCGGCACATAGCACAGGAGGCTGGTACTCCATATGGTGGCCTGATCAACACAGAGGCCAATTTTTGTCTCCCCCGCTCCCAGAAAAGGCAGTGTGCATTGGATTTTATGGAGATTATGGACCTCCATGCACAACATCCATTTTACACATGTGAGTGTCATAGGAGAGTGTGCATGTGCTCCTCTGCCATGCACAGAGGACAGCTAGCCCATAACTGTCTGCATTTGGCTTAACAAACACATTCAGGTCTATGTAAGCAAGTCAGTGGCAGACTTTAGTATCAAAACCAGCTCTTCTTCCCACTTCTCCAGACACTGCATAATATTGTAATGTCCTTTACCAACATCCCAGATTCAGAGATGAAGTAAAATTAATCATCCAGGAAACTTCCTCGGTCTTTATGAGTTTTCACATTCTGTTACTCCCTGACTTCATAGTGCTGATTGTCACAGAGTAATTCCCATACAGAATCTTTTTTAAAAATAATGTAAAATATTTTTGTTATTTCAGAGACCACTTTATGAAGCATTCTGTTATAAAACCCCTTGCTCCCATATAATCTCATTATCTTTGTATTCTATTTTCTAGCATCTATTTGCATAAAAACAGGATTAGTAAAAGCCCTTTGATGGTTCTTCTACATTGAAAGGGATCCTGTTCTGGTGGTGCCAATATCATTTCCACAGTATACACTTGAAAGCACCAAAGTCAGTGAAGGTGACCTTCTGCTTGGAAACATGATGTACCTTGGTTGTCTAAGGAACAGATAGAAAAGATCACTCTTGCTAAGATGTCTTGATATGAACAACAAAGCAGAGAATAAATGCAGCAGATTATTTCCAAGCAGAGTATTTCTCATGGGGAAAGTTTTTCACTCATGCTTCATCTAGAGAGTCATTGCATAGTTTTTTGTAAAACTATTATATCCTTCTGTGGAGTGGGTATATTACAGTAAGTGCTGCAAAACAGCATCAATGGGCAAATAAATTTTGGTTTAGACAGTTGATCTGAAGAAAATATCTTACTGTTCCATCTTTGGGTTTTCATGAACAATTCCCTGACATTAATTTCAAGGGCCAGTTAATGTTTTGGATAAGAAAAAAGGTGCTATCTTCAGCAAGTGGCATAGTTTATACTGCCTGACAAACTGATATATTTATTCAATGAAGGAGATATGGCACAAGTGCAATGTACTTCTACACTACAAAATATGACGTTTTCAAGACAATTTCAATCACATTTGGACAATCATGCTTATGGATCAACATCTGTGGCCAGATTGATAAGGGTAGCACTAATAACTCCCCAATGCAACTGTCTGTAGAAAGTTAACAAGACATATTTAAACACCTTCAGAGTGTTTATACTTTTATTTGAACATGAGTTTCTGAACAGTTTTTGTGCTACGTGAACAGGACTAGTCCTTACCTGCATTTGCTGTTTAAAGTTTTTTGTTATAAGCCCCATTGTTTCCAACAGCATGGATAAAGTGCACCATACAGGCCAAACACTATAAGGAATTTTATAAAATAAACTCTTCTTAAATACGGACGTATAGGATAAGAGACCATAGTTTCCAACATGCAGTGTTGCAGCCTGATCCAAAGTGAATACCATCCACATTAAGTATGAGGTGTATAAAGACAAAGGTAGTGGCTAGGCTATTTAATAATTTTAGGGAGAGGGAACAGAACTGGTCCTTGACTTTCTGGGAACTACAGCACCCATTTGTATAACATATGCCAATTTTCTGCCTTACTTGTTGTACACTTTTGTTGTTGCTATTGTTCAGGCAAAGATACATTATTTTCTGTGTCAGGATGGTGAAAAAGATTTTTAAATATGTATAACAAAGACATGTTGAAAAAGGTCTATGAAGTAGCTGCCAGAGTTTGTGTACTTTTCAAAAATAATAAATAAGGATTTCCTTTTTTAAATAACAAAATGTTAACAATGGGCACCAGAGATATATCCCTACTTAACCTGAAATAGAAAAAAAGACCTTTTTTATTTTTTAACCAGGCCGGACTGAAATTCTGCTTCAAAGGCCATCTTGTCAAAAGTGCGCATGTTCATCTCTTCCCGTACCTTTTCCCGGACATGGAACGATGCTCGAGCAACAGACCTGGCATTTTCCAACACATTTCTTTTCTCCTTAAAGATCTGTTCACTCCGTTCTAGTTTTTTTTCAATCGACAGAAGGATCTCCTTGCGCCGGATATCTTCACACTGTTCTACCTTCTTCTTGTTGACTTTCTGTATCTTCTCCTTTTCCAACCGGCTTTGGACCAGTTTGCGGGCTTTTTGCTGGACAACCTCCTCAGCTACCTGAGCTGCATGCTGGAGCTTCCGCTCTGTAGCTTTGGCCAAGGCCTTCAAGTGCTCCTTCTGCTCCTTCCCCTGCCTCTCTGCTGCCAGCTTGGCCCTTTGACTCTGAAGCTCCTCCCGCCTTGCCTTCTCCCTTATTTCTTGGTTCCTCTTCTCAACGAGCTGCTCATAGTTCCCTTGAGCCCTACTCAAGCTCCCTTCCAAAGAAGCCCTTAGCACAGCCTTCTCTTCAGCCTCGTGCCTGGCTAGCTCCCTGAAGAGGGAATCATGCTTCCGCTTCTCAGCCTGGTTGAGCAGTTTCTTTTCCTTCTGTAGGAGCTGTTCCTTCTTGAGCTTCTTCTGGGCAGCCATGGCCTGCTTCTCCTCCAACATCTGAACCTCTTGTTCCAGGGCCTCTTTCTTGCTCTCTTCCTGAGTCTTCAGGTTGCGCTCTTGGTGATGTTTCTTTTGCTTGTCTTCTAAGGCAGACTTCTCCAACTTCTCTCTCTTCATTTTCTCATGCTTGTCCACCTGCTGCCGCCGCTTCTGTTCCTCCAGCAAGTTCTGCTTTTGCTTCAACAGGGCAACTCCTTCTTGCTCCAGGGTGAGCTTGCAGCGGCGCTTCTCCAGCCTGGACTCCCACATCTTCTTGCACTGCATCAAGGCCCTCTGCTTCTCCTTCTCCTCCTGCTCCCTCCGCTGCTCTGCCCGCCTCCTCTGGATGTCCCACTGGAGGTGGGAAAGGTACCGCTGTTCATTCAAGATGCTCTCTTCCTGGTGCCTGGCGATCATCAGGGCAGCGATCTTTCGGTCCCTCTCTGACACCTCCTTGAGGCCCTTCTTCTTCACCTCCTTGACTATCTTTTCCACTTTCTTGGTGGTCTGTGGAGAATGGCACAGATCACCCAAGCTGAAACTTCTGCCCACAAGGGGACTCATGGCAGCCACTGACCTAGTCCTGGGAACCCCCTTGGGCCCTTTGTCCTTAAAACTGTCTCCACTGTAGGAGGAAGAGGCACCGGAGTCAGAGGAGGTTTTGGCGGAGAAGCCCTCCCTCCTCTTTTGCAAGGAGTCCAGGGAGTGGCTCTTCTTGGTCTTCCTGCCAGTGGGGGGAGGAGGGCAGCCGGCCCGGGGCGTCGCAGCTGCTGGGGTGCAGCTCCCATCGGAGGCGGCGGCGGCGGCGCTTCTGACGGCCATCCTGGCAGCTGGGGAGGAAGGGAGGCTGCCGACCAGGAGAGGCGTGAAAAGCCTCCTCTTCTCCTCCCGGATAATCCTTTCCCTTTCCTCCCGGCACTGCTGCAGCTTCCTCTGCCGGTCCATCTCGTAGACTTCGTACAGGCCGGCAGCCACCCTCATCGACCTGCCCGGGGCCTCCTTCACCAGCTCGCTGAGGGACCTGGGCAGCAGCTCCACCGGCTTGACGGCGCTCCGGGCGCAGGCTTCCAGCGAGCGGGGGCTGGTGAGGACATAGCGGCTGCCCTCGGCCTCCGGGCGGTCAAAGTTGTACAGGTCCAGGTGCAGCATCGGCGACTCTTCGCGGACCTGGCCCGGCTCCCCGGTCCCGGCAGGAGGAGGAGGAGGCGGCACGGGGGCCGGAAGGGGGGTGGGCGACTGACACACGGGGGCGGCAGCTGCGGAGGAGGAGGTCGCCGTGGCCATCGCCGCCGCCGGAGGCCCGTCTGCACCTGCAGCTCCCCCCGGATCCCCGCATCGCTCCTCGCCAGGATCCGCCACTGGATCCACCATGCCTGGCTGCCCGCAGAATCTGCAATTGAAGAACATCCCCCAACAGAACGCAAAGATCAGGAGGAGAAATCGGAAAAATCACCTCGCAAGGATTTAATCTACCGCGGCGGAGGGATTAGCCAGGCTCGCCATCTCCGCGGCCGGGCGGGGGGAGACGCCCGGGAAACGGAGTCCGCCGCTGCCCTCTCCCCGGGAGCTTATTGCACGGAACCCGCCGGGAACGGCTGGGCGGGCAGGCTGCTTTCAGCCCGCCCCACCTCTCCGGGCGGCTGCCGAGTCCTACATCGCACGCCCCCTCCCCTACCCCCACAAGCTCTAGCGGCGGCTACACCAGTCGTCACCACCCCCCTTCGCCGTGACTACTTTGGTTGGTTGTGTCGATTTTTAAGCCCTCCCCCCCAAAAAAAATCTAAGCACGGAAGGGTGGGACGACGAAGATCACCCCTCCTTCTCCCCCTCACTGTTGTCTAGCAACGCTGAAGTTCTAGCGCGGGAAGGTAAGGGCGGGTAGCAGCTGCGAGTGGAGGTCTGGCGGGGAGAGCTTCGCCTGGTTTTCGGGCCGGGGGGGG